TTTAGCTCTTAGTATTTAATTCCATTTAATACTTCATTATTTTCTTTTGATTTATATTATTAAAGTAAGATAGAATTAATATTATTCTTGGACCAATGGAAAGCTGAAATTTTCTCAATGGATTTAACTATATGAGAGTATTTTTCTAATTCACTCCAAGTATATCCTTTAAATATTTAATTTTGTGACTATTAGTTATGATATCAAATCATTTAATCTTAGAATCCACTATTATGGTTGATGATTCTGTTGATACATATTCTGGTTAGATAATCTATGCATATGGAGTATTTAACCAAAGTTCTAGAATTAAGAGACAAAATTCAATATCAAATAGAGTGGAATATTATATGAAGGTAAGAATACCTTAGTCATTTTCAATCAATTTTCGTTAGATTGTGGAATTTAATTCAAATATAATAATAACATTTAAGTGGGATTGATGTATAAGAATACTTATTTAAGGAATTTAAGTAACTTATTTAAATACATGTAGATTTTTTTGATACTTAAATAAAAGATTTTTTTTCGTGCTTATAAGTGTAATTCTATTGTTTTTATTTATTGCTTTTAAAAAGTTTCTATTGAGAAAAATGTTTTAGAGTATTGCTTTTGTTTTTTGAATATTTTCTAATTAAATAAACCCTATTCTTTCGTTTTTTAAAAAATCCTTTTTTAAAAAAAAAATAACTTTCAGTATTATGTGTGTATTTAATTTAAACCTTTTTTGAAAAAAACCAAAAATTTATTATAATAGTTTTTTTGAGAGAGCTCATACCAAATTATAGATGTAGTTTTGTATGATTGAAATATATGCGCATTCCGTTTAGAGCCTTAGACTTTATTTTCATTGTGTATTTAGATTGACTGAAACAAAGATTATTACTTACTTGATATATAAAAATAGAATTTTAAAAAATAAAATATTATCACTATGATTATTTTTTTTTTATTATATTATTATTTTTCGTAGGTACAACTATTTAATTCAAATTTAATATTTCTTCATACATTGTGTATGTGATTTTTCCCAAATTTTGAGCATCCCAATATTAAAATGCTTTTCCTAATTCATGATTTTTTAGACCTAAATATAACTCTTAATTTATTGTTTAAAATTAAGATATTCCCCAAGTTGATTCTCCAATAATATTCCATATTTTTTATCTGGTCCATTATTTTTATTTTACCATAAGAAAATTGAGTGCTTTAGCTAAAAGTTTTCCAGGATTGTTCATTTATAAATAAAGTTAGGTTATGCTCATATACCCATTTTCTCCTTCCATATAAGTATAATAGAATTGTTCGATATCAGAAATTGGGGCCATTATTTCTAAAAATAAAAATGCTTACTACAATTGCATTGGTTTAGAGATTGTCAAATCAGTTTCACCATAATAACACAATAGATCAAAAAGATCTATGTTTTTCTAAATGCATTTTTTTTATAATTCTTATTTATAAAAACTTAGATCAAATTTTTTAATTTTAGATGGGTTATTAATATGCTCTAATCCTTTAGTTTATTATTATTAAAAATATAGTATAAATCTAAATTAATCTACTTTTTCGGTATATTTTTTATCAAAATACCTGAAGAATTAATCTAATTCTAATATCCTATACTTCTTATATTAATTGATATGCATGAGAAATTATCTGAAATCAATATATACACTACCCTTAGATATAATATAAAATAATGTTGAAATCTGTTATTCAATTTATGGATTTCGTCCATTCAACATCACATTTTTCATTTCCTCAATTTGGTTTACAGTTATTTCATTCCGTTTGTATACTTAATATTCAAATTCCATAAAATTAATTTTACCATCACTATCCATATCAAATATCTCAAACAATTATTTTTATACATTCTAAGAACTAGTATATCCAATTGTACTCTATAATAGATCAGTGAATTCTTCATTAGAAATATAATAATCTCTATCCTTATCAGTCTATCTATACAAATCAAGTAAAGTACAGGTTTCTTTTTCCATATATTAAGAAAAAGAAAAAACAATCTTATCAATTTCTTAATTACATTTATAATAAGAATTAGCAGTTTCATCTCTATCTTATAATTGTTTAATAATAAATTGTAAAAACTCACTTTAAGAATTAAATGATTTCGGATTGAAATTTATTAACTTTTATAATTTTGACTCTAGATCATCAGAATTAACTATTGAGCTCTCTCTACTTTCTTTATATTTAGCTAATCCTTAATTAATTAAATCATTAAAGGCATAATAATCAATTTAATCTTGAGCATCTTTTTCTATAATTGTATATAATAACTCCAATTCATCATCATTTATTGATATTTATTTATCAAATAAACCCATTTTAAGAGCCTTTACTTTGACTTTACCTTTTTAATTAATATCATATTCTTGAGAAATTTCAATTGTATTAGTATTTTTGTTTTTGAGTTACACTTTTAAGTTTGTAAGAATAGCTTCAATTTTAGTTGAAGGTGATCCAACTTAATATTGTTTAGCTTTTAAACAAAATATTTTATAATTGATATTATTGTCTTATAATACACCTAATTAATCAGCTAGCGTTTTCATTTCAAGCAATTAAATATTTGGACCATTAAATTTTTTTAATACCATAATGAATACCTCTAAATCTAATTAATTTCTATAATTTTATTCTCTTATTTCAAATTCTCCTAATAACAAAGTTTAAGATTCTTTTACAAATTTCATAACATCATCAAAAATACTCAATTATTATTTATTTATTGTTGCCATTAATTTTTCATCTGCTATTATTGCATTCTGAGAAAAGAAATCTTAAACTAAATCTTCTAAATCTGATAACAATGGTCTATTATTTGGATTCTTTTCCAACATTTTCTCAATCAAATTTATTAAATGATTACCATATGTTTTTCTAACTATTTCTCTTATTTCTATTGCTTTTTAAGATTCATGTGCTTAAAGATCTCTAAATACAATTAATTCTTCTATTTCTCTTAATGAAGCCATTTGTAAAAATACTATTCCTAACTACCATACATCTATTTTCTATGGATCTATTCCAAATTAATCTCCTTATCCTGATTATGCATATGTATAACTTTAATTCTTCTTTATTATTGCTATTGACTCTGGAGGCAAATAATATTCATTATTCTCATTTGAAAATTATTAAAAGTCTGTAATTACACAATTTCCATCTTCATCCTCAAATAAATTTTAAGGTTTTATTCTACAATGACAAAATCGCTATGCTTCTGTTTTCTTTGATTTATGTATTTTATCTAACCAATTTGTATATTCATCTACATATTTCTACATCAAATTCATTGTAATGAATTTTCCCTATCTTCTATGTACTCTTATTAAATCACCCATTGAATTTTTGAATCTCTTATACACTAAACTTATTCCTTATTTATCTTCCATATATCCTTCTGGAATATAAATACCTGCTTTTTATAAACGAATTTTCATTTAATCAATTTCATCAATCAATTCCTTTTATGTCTTTTTTTTATCAAGTACAATTTACTTACAAATCCATTACTCTTAACCCCTTTTATATAATCCTGTTTTTTCAGTTATTTGAGAAATTATTTAAAACTCTGCATATTGGAGTTTTATCAATTAAGACATTAATATTATATATTATTTCAAACTTTTAATTTCTTATAAATTTTCAATACATTACTATCCACATCTTATGTTTAGAGACAATTTATTCTATTAAAATACTGAATATTGGATATCATGTTGATATACTATAAATTTGAATGATCAACCAATTCTAAAAATAAAGAAAAAAGCATAATTTAATTTTAAAAAACACATTCAACCAAAACTTCTTAAGCCTTATTCTATCTAAAAAATCTTATCAATCTTTGTTCTACTTATATTGATTATTGAGACTTATTTCATAATTATTCTGTCTACTTAAGATTTTTTAGAGAGCATTTAAAATATCTTTCTAAATCTATTGATTAAGTTTACTTTAATTGATTATTGCTTACTTTATAATATTAAAAAGTGAACCACCTTTTTAGAACTCAATAAACTAATAAGTCTTCCCATCCTATTGCCCCTAAAATTCTTATGTTTCCAATTCTTTTTTCAATAATTGTATATTGTTATTATTTGATATTTACGGATTGTTAACAATTTGAAAATTTATATATTTGTATCTCCAGATCATAAACGATTTGCAGGTATATCACAAATTTAAAATATGTAAATTGTTATAAGAAATAGATTATGCATATCATTTTAATTTATAAATTGCTTGTAGCCTAAATAACCAATTTTTTTATTTGTGATGAGATGATCATAATTTAATCCACTAAACATTATTATTCAAATAATATAAAAAATAGAAAAAAGAAAATAGGGATAGAAGATTTATATAAAATAATTATAAAAAGGAAAAAAAATAAATTTAATTTCTTGATCTAACATAATTAACTCTTATTTTGGAATATGAAGAATTTTATCTTTTTATCTGTTTTAGATACTGAATCCTCATTTTAAATTAATTTTATGCTAGATCGATTAAAAGTCCACAATTATTGAAAGTAAAAATTTTTCGAGAATTTCATACTTTTTGGAAAAATGCTACAAAAAATTTTATAATTAAAGTATAATACTACCTATAATAATGATATGAACGTATAAGTAGTACAATAAATAGTGTTCTAAAAGCAAATTCATGATGTAATTGCATTTTAAAAGTTTGAAAATCTGGTTAAAATACAAAATAAATTAAATTAAAATTGTTAAAATATCAAATATAACTAACTTAAGTATGTAAAGAATTGATATCTTTCTAACTCAATTCTCAAAAAAGAAGCTATTATGATACCTAAACAGTAAGTTGCAAAGATCATTAGTAATATTTATCAGAAATAATACTAAAGCTCAAAATATACTGCTTTTATTATTAAAAGGGATAATTCTTTAAATAAAACTAATGAAAAAAAGGCTATGTGTTTAATATAAAATTTATAAAAGCTTTACTTAAATTAAATGTTGATCTTCCTAAAATTATTATTGCTCTTAATGTTATATTTATCTATCTAAAAATATATATACTATGAGGGTATTTTATTGAATAATCTGATTATTATCAATTGATTAATCTATCTTTTAATCTTTAAGTGCTTGTTGATTCCATTTTTTGAATTTTATTATTTAAATCAATTAATTTAATATTTAAATATATAAAAACTAAGCCAAAATCCGTTATTATTAAATCTATTTTTATCTAATTTAAGTTATGATTTCAGTAGAGTTATTTTTTAACTTCTATAAAATAAAGTATAAATCATTGATATTTTAAATTGAACTAAAACTAAATAATTTATTTTATTTTTCACCACTTATTTAGATTGATTTATTAAATATATAATCTTCAAAATTCATATATTCTATTTGATTTTTTTTATAACTTGCTTGATTTTATAAAAGTGCCATTTGCAAAAGTTTTGTGTTTAATTAAGATAAGAATTTCAAAGATATTGTTGATTAATTTTCCCATTTAAGGAAATTAACAATTTTGTAAGTATTCTGAATTCATTCCTGCTAAATGACAGTTGTTGAACCTGACACAAAAAGGAAAATAGTTTTTAATTAAGAAATATTGATATGATCAAGAAGATTAATTAATATTTACAATAAATAGAAAGTATGGAACTTAGCGATTAAAGATTTAATTTCATATTAATATATACCTACCAATCAAAAATAGTAAATCATTAGATTTTGGGATTATTTTCAAATCAAGCACTAATGCCTAAGTACCCTCAAAGCAATCAAAGAAAATAATTTATATATATCATTTAAGAGGAAAATATTAGAATTGATTAAAAATTTTCACAATAGATAATAGAAGAAATTAATATTGGAAAAATATTTATCTAAAGAAAAGATCTCTTAAAAAAATACTGTATAGTTTTGAAATTAATATAGTTAGCATATACCTCAAAAAATTTATGTAATGTAGTAATAACATATAAATTTAATGCTTTTGATAAAATAAATTTTTCTAACTGTTTATTTTAAGATGAATAATCAATTCATCTTTTCCAACTCAGCCCTCCATAAACGGATAGAGTTATCATCACTACTAGATGCTAAACTGTTACCATCAGGAGAGAAGCATACTGACTAGACATCATTTTCATGACCATCTAATTTGGCTTTTAGTTATCCTGTTTTAACATTCCAAAAATAGATAGATGAATCACTGGCAGATATTAAGATAGTACCATCAGGAGAGAAGCATACTGAATTAACTGTTCCACTATGACCATCTAATTTAGCTTTCTATTCTCCTGTCTTAACATCCCATAAACAGACAGAGTTATCTCCACATCCAGATGCTAAGATATTATCATCAGGAGAGAAGCATACTGACCAGACTGGATTACTATGACCATCAAATTAAGCTTTTTATTATCCTGTTGAAACATCCCATAAACGGATAGAATTATCATAACTGCCAGATGCTAAGATAGTGCTATCTGAAGAGAAGCGTACTGATAGTACTAAATTTTCATGACCATCTAGTTAAGCTTTCTATTATCCTGTCTTAACATCCCATAAAAGGATAGACTTATCACTACTACCAGATGCCAAGATAGTACCATCAGGAGAGAAGCATACTGAGTTGATACAATTGTTATGACCATTAAGTTAGGCTTTTTATTATCCTGTCGAAACATCCCATAAACGGATCGTCTTATCATAACTACCAGATGCTATGGTAGTGCCATCAGGAGAGAAGCAGACGGACAGTACTAAACTATCATGACCATCTAGTTAAGCTTTTTATTATCCTGTCTTAACATCCCATAAACGAATAGACTCATCTTTACTACCAGATGCTAATGTATTACCATCAGGAGAGAAGCATACTGATAGAACTGAATTACTATGACCATCTAATATTTTCCATTCTTTTGTTTGAGTTCTAGAGTAAGATTTAAATTTCTTACTTATATAATGATTTTATCTTTATTATTCCTTCATTCATCTTTTAGATAAAATCCTTAATCTCTTGATCCAACCACATCTATGTCTAATCAATCTCTAGTATTTTACTATTCTTCTAATCGTTGTCCTTTTCAATACAATCGTATATTTAATTGATTGATTCTGATAAATTATCCCAAATTGTCTAGAGTATAGTTTTAGTTTGAGAGAGCATTGATTTAAAAGCCATTCTCGTATCCTCAAATTACATTACCTATTATTTATATAATTGAATTTCTAGTATTTGATTTAAAGATTTATATTACCAAAAAGTATCTTATGTATTGATGTAAAGGTATCGACAAAACCTTGTGTGATTTTTTATTTGATGTAATTGAGGTAGAATTGGCAAATATCAGATCAAATAAACAATTGCATGGCTTGATTCCTTAAGTATATAGAATATATAATATTTTTAGAATTCACATTATTAATTTATCTTATTTTATATATAAATATTTCTTATTATAAAATATTCTTGAAGATTAAGAGCTTATCGATTATATTATCCTAATTATTATAGAAAATTACTATTGAAGAAGCTAATCGATTAATAGATTCTTTCAAATAGCCTTATCCTAGGTTATTAATTAAAGGTTATGAATTACCTGGGTTAAATAGCTGAAACTTATTTTGTGTTCCAGGCATATAAATTTTTTCTACATTTCAGCCAAAATAAAGGTGGAATACTTAATCGAATAAGCAAAATAAGTTTGATTATATATATTATTAAATATTTGGTAGGAAGTTGATTTTTGATTTACTACTAATCAATTACAAGATAAATAATGGTTAATGTAAACATTATATAAGGTTTCACTTCATCCTTTATATTTTCAATAACCAATTGCATATATTCTTCAATTTATTAGTTAAGATTAAAATTATGTTACTTCAATGGTAAATTAAAGAGCTAAAAATGCAATGTCTTGGTCTAAAAGATTAAGATTTAAAAAATCTAAACCTTGATAGTAATTGCAATAAAACAAATATTACTTAGATGGAAGGAGATAAAAAATAAAAAAATCAAATTGTGGTGTTGGAACGATGCTTAAGATGTTTTATATTTAAATAAAAAAAAGCACAAAAGCGAATGTTTTTTTTTAGTTTTTTTCTTATTTAAATGCCTTCACCTTGAGATTCTTAACAAGGTAATTAAATTTTCATAATAATTTAAAATCTTATCAAGTAATGAATAATTACATATGATACAAAAGAATAGAACATAATATTAATTACTTATACCTGTAAATCCAGCCCTTTTATTATTTAGATACAGTTAAGAATATTAAAAGATATGTAATAAGTTTACTTTGAAAAGTAAATTTTGAAATTAAGATTACTTGAGAGGTTGAAGAAAATAATCGTTAATTGAAATATTAAATAAAACCTAAAAAGTTAAAAAAAAACTAAACTTTAAAGAACTAAAAGGGGTGAAGATAAGGTATTTGATGAAGTTGATTACATTTTTTACCGTTATAATTTTTTGAAATTGATTATAATTAAAAATAAAAATTTGGAATTCTGCTGAAAATAACTAAATTTATATATTTATTATCAAATTATTGTTGTCATAATTTCAACAATATATAGAAATTAAGTTGAGAACTATTTTCACAAATATAGATTAGTAATTTAGTATACGAAGTTGAATTTTATTAAATATTTTTTTCAATATCTATTTTTATTAACTTTAATATTCAAAAATCACTCCTAGAAAATTTACTAAATATATATTATTTGAAAAAGAATAGAATATTAAACAGAAAGTAGAAGTTTTTTTAATTAACAAAAAGGAAGAAAGTATAATATTACATTAATAAAAACTTTTTTATAATTTATAAATCCTTTTTCATTCTCAATAATTAATATTTAAAAGAATTTAATTTTAGAAGATATCTAATCAAAATAACATAGGAGTAATTATTTATTCTGAATATAAAAATGTACATGAATTAATATTTTCAAAATTAAAAATGATCTATATCAGTAAAAAATACTTTATTACTATCTATTTGTACACAAGGATAAAGATAAGATAAATTATTAAATTATGTTATATTTTATCTAATCAAAAAACAGGCATTTGTGCTAATTATTTGAAATTACAAATTATCTATTTAACACAGATTCTGTACAATCTATAGTGACTAAAATCTGCGCTTTTTAAATAAAATAAATTTTGATAAAAATGATTAAAAGAAATTTAATTATTAACTTTCATTCAATATCTCCATATTCTTCTAATCCACATTAATGGTATACTTCCTCATAGTCTTTGCAAATAGAGCTGATCATATTTTTTTCCAAGATTATCAAAATAATTGTATAAAGAAGCATCATTTGAAAAAAATATACCAATTTATCTTAATTAAGCTAGTTCTGGAAAAAATGTATAATTTTGAGATTATCATTAAAAAACATTAGGAGTTTGTTAATTTTTAATTCTAATATTTTAAAGTGTAAAATTAAATTAACCAAAAAAAAGGATTCGTAAATTTAGAACGATGTAAAAGTGAAGCACAAATGATAGCTGGTTTCATTTCATATTACAATAATCTTTATTCTGGTTAGTTATATATGATATAAGCGATTTTTCATTTAATTCTTAATTGATTTAGTCATCATTAGATGCTAAAGGTTGATAAAAAGGAATTATATAATGAACTCTTGGATAGGGGATAAACCTAGAAAACAATTTATTGTTATTGATTTAACTAAATCTTCTTCACCCTGTGTAAGAATAACTATTTATGAAACTAGATTTTAAAACTATTCATTTGTATTATTAATTGATTCAAAATTTTCAAATTACCTAAGATTCCTGTTAAACATTCAAATATTGAGTACAATAGAATTCTCATCGTTTCTCACCTGAATGATATATGCAACACTTTATCACCAACTTTATAAGTCATACAAATATTTCATTTTCAGCCAACTATCATTCACTTATTTTTCCTCTTGAATCCTTTACATGTCAAATTTTGCAATTTTTTTAGATTTCCTTTCATAATCAATTCATCTATATTATTATAACTGATTCGAAAAATAAGTAAATTTCCTCTCTTCCTAAGCTTTGCCTAATTAAAAATGATATCTTAAATTATTATTTAATGTCTAAATACCATTTCTATGAAAAAACGTCTCCTAAAATTCTCCATAATATCTTTAGGAAATTATAATCATTAATTTATAATATTATTTTTTTTGGTGAAGAATTTAAAAATTAATTTTATTTTACATTTAAGTAGCTTGTTATTTCTCTTTATATTTTCTCAAAGAATTATTCAAATTATAATTTATTGATATAATTTTATAGTTTTAACTTAATTTACCTATTATGATCGTAGTTAGTTTATATAATATATCTTTCATTTAATTTAAAGCTGAAGTTTGAATACTTTTACTTTTAATCATTTTATTTAAACATAGAAAAAATATTAGTGAAAATAACTTTTTATTTCAAATATTCTCAGTTACTATATGTTTATAGACATCAAAACAGGATTTTGTATCTTTGAGTGTTTTTAGTGATGTCTTATCATCTATAATCATAAATATTCTTGAACTTTTATGACTTAATAATTTTAATTGCTGCAGCCTTAAAAATTTAATTACATAAGAATTTTTTTCACATTCTTGGATATTTCTCTTCAGAAGAAATTTTTATTTTTTAATTTCCAAAGATATTTGAACATCAACTAGTCATAACTTTGTAGGTATTTATTCGGAGCAACTCCACTAAAGTTTTCGCTCTCCCATCTATTCCTCCTTTAAATATTTTTTTAGTTTTTGTTATTATTACACAAATTTTTTGATCATTTACATGCTCGTTTTTCTAAATAGTTTTGGCTAATATTTATTTAGTTCTTCGATGCTAATTAATAAAATTTACATATTATTATTTTATCTCCCTTAAAATATTTGAGATGTTTATCATTATTTTTAAAGTCATCATTCATTCTATTTAATATTGTATCTACCTGTATTTTGCCTTTACCTTAAGATACGAAATTATAAATTTCTTTATCATTTTGAACTTATTAACATTGTACATTTCCATTATCAATCATACTGAGCTTAACACTAACCATTTACGCACTTTTTATTCTCTTCAATAATGTTTATTTCTCTTTAAAAATATTTCTCTTATTTTAAAGTAGCAATATTTTTAAATTTGGCATTCCATTAAATCACTTGATTCTCTATCAGTCCATTTGTAGGTGATATCTAAATTTATTTACCTGAATAAGACTTTTTAGAGACTTCTAGAATAATTCTATATTTAGCCAATGATTTAATTTAAAACATTAATTTAAAACATTGATTATTATCATCAATATTCAAATATAACAAAACTCTTGTTACTCTTGGTATTTTATCTTTCATTTAAGTTTCAAAAATCTTTGCATTAATTTAGGAGTTGATTTACATAAATCTATTTGAATGAGAAAATTAAGTTACCTTAAACTAAAAATTATTTATTTCTTATTATATCAGAACTATTTACTCCTTCATAAAATGGAGATTGCACTCTTTGAATTGATTCTGATAAATATTTATAAATGATTTTTATAATGTTATTTTAATATGTTAATTTATATCACTTTTAAAACTTTACAATGATTATTATAATATTTAGGGCATAGTATGATCGTTAATTAAAGTAATTGTTGAAAAATCTTAAATAATTTTTATTATTTGTTATTATCTAACATCACCTTTTACGAATTTAGGAAATGGCAAGAATTGAATCTAATTAAGCTAAAACAATCTGACTCTCAATAAGGGAATAGCTTAGAATTTTATTTGAAAAGTGTTCAAAATCCTCTATAATGCAAATGTTTAGATTTAAAGGTACCAAATTGTTTTAAAACCAATTTCATTATATTTAACTTTAATATTTATTAAGAAACTTTTAACTTCTGTAATTTAAAGTTTCACAAATCCTCTTTTTAAGTGAATTCTTTAGGATTAAACAAATTTATTTGTATTTAAAAAATTCTTTACTTATTATTTCATATCATAATATTTTTTAAACCTTAAGTTACCAAAATAAAAATAGAATAGAATTTAATTATGAAATGAATGAAATAATTTTAATTTTTAATATAATAATAAAAAGAATTTTAATGAAAGGAAAATATAGAAATTTTTGATTTATCGTTTCAACTTATTTTAGAAAAAATACTTGTCTACAGATTAATAAAAATCAAAATAGATTAATTTCCATATAAAAATATTTTTTATTAATAATAGAAGAATTCAATTTACATAATAAATTGATTTTAATTGTTCATAACGCAATTTATTAATTTTTATTTTTTTAAACATTAGGAGCAGTGGAGAAAAATTTTTATTTTTTCTTGAAGTTTTCTTTTTTTAAGAATATCTTGATTTAATTATGTTTTGAAGGTATGTATTTAATTTTATAAATTATAATTAAATTAATTCAAATTACTGATGTTATTCAATAGATAGAATATGATGTAATATATACATGCACAGAAACTGCTAATTTAGTCTTATTTTTGGTGCTATATTCTTTAAGTCTTCCACATTATAAAGTATTATATCTGGCTATTAATAATTATTAGATTAGATTATATTAAGATTCTCTAATCCATTATCTAATATTTTAATTGTTTCATTAAAATATCTTTAAAATAGCATATTTACATAGATACGCGTCACAAACTATAACAGTATTCTCATATTTTAAAGTAGTATCAGATAAAATGTTAATAAATTAATTGTATTTAGAGTTGGTTAGTTATTCATGAAAAAAAGTTAACTTTAAATAGTTGTATAATAAATCCATTTATTAATTTAGAGTATGAATTCTGAATGAACAGAGCATAATCCTCAAAAAATTTAAGGGTTCTGATTATTTCGATTGAAATAGTAAAAATTTAGCTACACTATTTAAGTATGTTTTGCAAAGTTAAATAATACTGTTATTTATCGTTCTGCCTTAGCTTATGGAATAATTAATAATATTAGCAAAATTTGTAAATAATAAAAAATCAAAAGATCAAATCAGATCAGATAAGGTCACAGGACAATTAAAAGAAGTCTTAAATCTTTTAACTTTGATAACTATTTTAAATTAAGGATTAAAAGTAAATATATAAGGGAAAAAAAGGCAATATGTACTGTATTCTAGTGTTGGACAACAATCATCATCGATATTTTCAAGAATTTTAAAGTGCTTTTGGTTATCCTGTATCTGAACTATTCGCACCCAATCTTCTGTAAGTTAAATAAAGATATTAATAAGTTGTTATATCACCAAAAAATATTATTAAAACCAATTTCAAAGTAGACTTATAATATAAATTTTTATCTAAGTTTAAAAATCAAATCTCTGATTTATATTATACTATTTTAAATATTAAGATGAATTTTACTTATTTTAAATGTAATATTTGATTGTTATAATTTATTCAAATATAAAAAATATAATTGTTAAATAACCCTTTATACTAATCAATCACCATTTGAATTCAATTATTAGTTTTTAAGAATGTATTTATAATATAGATATGGTTACTACCATTTTTGTATATAAAAACGATAAAAATGAAATTGAATGAAATTCATTAAATATATTGATCAAATATTGATAAATTTTATTCTGTATCTAAAAAATTTAATAAATTATCCATAAATTATCTTACATTCTTTAATTGAGCTAATTAATGTTGATTAAGCTAACATTGAATTAAGAAAACTTAAGACTTGCAACTATATATTTAATATTTCTTTTTACCTTATATTATTTTTAATAATTTTTTATTCTCCAGAATTAACACCCCACAAACGAAGAAATTAATTCCCACAATTAAACTAAAATGTTACTTTTAGAAGTTAAGCCTACATATTAAATATCTCCTAAATTTTTTTT